GGGCTGGCGGCCTCCCCCCCCGCCCGGGGCCCGACTCTCCGTCCTCAGCGCTCCCCCGGGGCGGGGAAGGCCCCATCCGCGAACCCACCGGGGGCTTGAAATCAATCAGGCTGCTTTAAAAAATAACTCGTTTTCTTGTTTTGTGTTTTTAAAAAAAAAATAATAAATTGTTGGTTTAGATTTAGTCAATTTACGTGATTTTTCTACGATTAGAACGTTAAAAAAATCCCCCGTGTTTCCAGCTTTAAAAACTTCCGCTACGTGATTTCTCGTTAAATAACCTATCGCGTCGTTAAAAGAGGGAGCCGCCCTCCCGCTGGCGGAGGCTGCGCGGTTGGTTTTTAAAACATCTATTGGCTTTGAAATCCTGGACGCGAAACCAGCTAAAAAAAAAAAAATCGGTCCTAGCAGAACAAAAAAATAATAATAATAATAATAAAATAGGTCAGTCTGTCCCCGATAAACCAGTGGGGGAGTCTGGAAGAGGGGTGTATGCAGAAGAGCCGGACGCCCCGCTCCCGCCTTCCTGGTTTCTGTACAAAGTATTTTAAAAAAACAAAACCCGCCAAACTCAGGGGAGCAGGTGGGCGGCCGGGCGGAGCCGGGCGGGGCCGCGGGCGGGTTAGACCTGGGAGTCGGCGCCCAAGCTGTGAAACTCATCCGAGGTTTTGTCGCTCTGGCTCGCTCCCCCCTGACGGAAACCCGAGGCGATTTCGTCGAAGGTCCGACCCTTCGTCTCCGGCACCTTGAAGTAGGTGAAGATGAAGAAGAGGAATAGCAGCACCATGAAGATGATGAAGACGTAGGAGCCGCAGAGTTGCTGGGAAGGAGAAAAGAGGAGGAAGGGGTGAGCCCGCGGATGGAGACGGTGCTCCGTCACCGGTGCCGGCAGCAGAGCGATGGACCACGGCTGAAGGACCGTCCCGCGACCATCCCGCCACCGCGGCGCAGGACCTGGGTCCCCCCCCTTCCCTTGCACAGAGCGTCCCCAGTGGGAAGGGCCCCGTCCGGGCCATCGGGTCCAACCCCCTGCTCCCTCCCTGGATCCCGGCCCCATCCCCCTTCCCCAGGGGCGTTCACCCAACCGACCCGTCCCAGCCCAGGCTTTAGGGCTCAAAGGGAGGTCACCGCAACCCAGCCCCGCTCCCACCGAGAGCACCAGGAGGCGATTACTGCGATGTACTGGAAGCCCATGCCCACGATGAAGTTCGAGGTCCAGTTGGACAGCCCGGCGACGGCGAAGGCAGCGGGACGAGGGCCTTGGCTGAACAGTTCTGCCACGATAAACCAGGGGATGGGGCCTGGACCGATCTCAAAGAAGGCCACGAACCCGAAGATGGCCACGATGCTGAGGTAGGACATCCAGGGCATTTGGTCCTAGTCCAAGGGAGAGAGAGAAGGTCGGTTCGGTGGGGGGGGACGGGACAGGACACGAAGCATCCGGCCGTCCCAGAGGATGAGACTCGAGCAAGCGTGGTGCTGGCAGAGAAGCCGGGAGGTTTCTCCAGATCGGAGACTGGATTTCTGGGCCCTCAAGAGGGGTCTGGGCAGCGGGGACCGCTCAGCCATCACCTCCAGGAGGACGAGCCCTTCCCTGCTCCCCAGACCTCCCCCTCCAAACCACCACAGCGAGGGGCAGCCCGCAGGAC